CCCCCCCCCCACGCGGCCCTCTCTTCCGGATCGTGGGCCCAGGTCTGGCGAGGGCGGCCAACTACTTGGGCGGTCTTCTGCGGGAGAGCCTCCCCGGGCAGCCAGGGGGTGTTTTGAATCTGTCGGGCTCGGGAGGGCAGGCGGCTGTTCCTTCCCCTGTGTCGGGCCGCTCACCCCACCTCTCCCCGGGGGGGAGGGAAGGGGGCGGGGGCACCCAATCCGCATCCAGGCCGTACATCGCCAAGGCTCCAAGGCAGTGCCAACGCAGGATTCTGGGCCCGAAACCAGGGACAGGCCAGAGGAGCCAGGCGCGGGGCCGCCCCAGACACCTTCGTCGGCCCTTGGCCGCGGCGCGTGTGCCCGGGGCCCCGGATCGAGCATGACGCGAATCCCGGAACCACGCCCGGCAATGGTCCACAAGGAATGATGCACCGCCCTGGGGCTGGGCACGCGCATGCGGCGGCTCGCGAACCAGCGAGTTCGATGTCCGCCAGTTTGCCGAGCATCTCGGCAGGGCGGCCAGCCGGCGCGGGGCGGCGGGACGAAGGAGGTGGCAGAGCAACGCCTCGCGCGTGTGCGCGCGCGCGCGCACGGCATCCTGGCCGGGGGCTTTCCCCCAAGTTGTGGGTGATGTCACAGCGCAAACACCTCCGCAATGGACACGTGGGGCACACGTCTCGGTCACGTGCATCATGCGTACAAAGTGCGGAGGCCAAAATGGCTGCCCCGGCGCTGCCCATGTGTGTGTGTGTGCGCGCGAGCGCGCGCATGCGTATTGTGGCCGGGCCGCGGTGCCAGTGGTAAACCTTGTTCCGGTTTCCACGGGGGGGAGGGAGGACCGCGCGGGCCATGACAGAAGGTCCCAGGACGGGGGGGACGGCCAGGCGCGTCGGACACACATGGCGATCAGCTCAGGGTGCCGAGGGGGACACGAGGACGGCAGTCCGCCTGCCGGGCGGCGGCGCCGACTGCGGCACTCTGGCAGACGGACTGGTCCCCCCCGCTGCGTGTATTACCCGGACAGCACCACCGTGGCAATGTTCCGCTGTCGGAAGGACAAGGCCCCTCCCTTGACCCTGCCCCGCTCTCATATCCCGCCAGGGGGGGGGGGGG